GAGATTTTAGATATGCACCCCCAGACCTGATGCTGTGAGATATCTAAACCAAGAGATAGAAACAATTTTTTAAAAAAATGAAACAGTAGTTATTATGCTAAAAATACACTCAACAAAATCAAATGCAATTGAAGACCTCAATTGTGCAATAGATCAACAAGAAAAATCAGTAATCTCAGTGATAGTCTATTTGAAGATACAGACTTGGAGCAGAAAAAGGAAAAAAATGAAAGCTCTCAGGAACTTTAGACCTAAATTAAAATATTTAGGTTATTGGCATAAGAACTTAATATGTCAAAGGAGTACAGGAGATATTCAAATTTGCAATAGCATAATGCTCCCTAAAGCTGGAGAGAAATACAAGTATTCAGTTACAAAAACACCAGTGATCCTTGGCAAATTTCACCCCAGAAGATCCTGTAATGAATCTCTCACAAGAAAAAGATCAAGGGAGGATTAAGAAGATTGCAAGAAAAAAAAAAAAAAAACAGAGAGAAGTGTACTCATCCACCGGACAGCTGACTTCTCAACAGAAACCTCAGAGATCACAGAACTCAGCATGATATCTTCACAGTACTAAGGAAAATCTATCAGCAAAAAATGCTGCATCCAATAAACACATTCTCTAGAAATACAGGTAGAATAAAGACATTTCCAGACTAACAAATCCTAAGAGAACATGCTTCCACAGATTACCAAATCCTAAGAGAACATACTTCCACAAGGCCTGTTCTGCAAGTGCTAAATGAAGTTCTCCAAATGTGAAGAAAGAGATATATATTAATGAGCAAAAAATAAATGCTGCAAGGCATGATTTAATGGTAAGAGTAATTGTTTAAATAAATTCAAAATAATCTGATATCATGTGTGTAAATAATCCGATATCATGTTTGTATTTTCAATATGAAGACCTAAAATGAAATAATAAATAGATTAATATGTTCAGTAAAAGGTAACTAGCGGGACATCTTATGGGGTATAAGAAACTGAAAATGTGAGAGAGGGTGGAAGGCAAGTGGTAAGTTTTTTATGGCTTCAGTTATTCTGTTTGTGCTCTTATTTTTATGATTGCATTAAGTTGCTTTCATTCCAAAATAGTTTGTTATTATCAAAATATATATTTTATAATGCGCATACAAACCATGTTATAAAATGTATTATAGAAAAGCCAAAATTAGTAATAAAGCAACCAATGTGTTGCTGGAATAATGACTTAAATGCCAAAGAAGAGGAAGTCAAATTATCACTGTTCACAGATGACATGATCTTTTATAAAGACAACACCAAAAACTTAAAATCCATTAGAATTATTAAATGAAATTTGCAAAATTGAAGGATACAAAATCAATATAAAGTAATAATATTTGTATATGTGAATAATCAGTATATGAAAGGTACATCAAGAAAGCAATCTCATTTACCATATCTCATACAAAGAATAAAATATGTAGACATTTAATCAAAGTGTTGGAAAATCTCTACAATGAAAACTATAAACTTCGCAGGTAACATACTGATGAAAGAAACTAAAAAGGACACAGAAATGTAAAAGGGTAACTTTAGTTCATGGATCAGAGAATTTAATATTGCTAAAATGTCCATAATACCCAAGGCAAGTTACATATATAGTGTATTCCCTGCCTAAATACCAATGGTATTACTAAAAAAAAAATGTAAAACATAAAAAAAAAACAGGAAAAACATAATTTTAAAATATATGTGAAATCACAAAAACCATCAAATAATGAAAGCACTTTTAGTAAAAAAAAGACAAAAGCAGGAGGTATTATGCTACCTAATTCAAAATGTACTGCAAAGCTGCAATAAACAAAGCTGTGATATTGGTATTAAAATCTACACACTAACCAATGAATTAGAGGAGAATGTAAAAGCAAACCCAGGAATCCATGACTTTCAAGAAAATCTTTTAACAGCATTCTTTGCAGAAAGGTTAATTTTTCAATATGTCTAGGAAAATTGGATAGCTACATGCAGAAGGATGTTAGACCCTTGTCACAAGTCACAAAGTACAATTTAAAGTGGATTAAATAGCTATTAAATTTGAACTTATGAATTTACTAGAAGAAAACACAGGAATATGCTTCAGGACTTCAGAATATTCTAGGGAAGAGGGCTAAGACTCCAAAAGCACGGAAATGAATGCAATAACAGGCAAATGTGATGAAACCAAAATAAAAGTAGTACAACAAAGAAATATTAGCAGACTTCACAGATAACCTGCATAGTGGGAAAAAATAATTGTAGTGTAGGTTTCTCAAGATAGATTGATATTCAAAATGAAAAAGAACATTGAAAAACTCAATAGCAAAAAATAAAAATAAAAATTGTCAATGGAACTAAATTGTTGTTTTTCAGAAATAAGAAAAAGAAAGAAAAATGTACAAATGGTCAACAGTTACATGCAAAATCGCTTAAGATCATTAGTCTTAAGGGAACTGCATTTAAAACTATACTGAGGTATCACTTTAACCCCCAAAGAATGGCTAGGATCAAAGGGACGTAACATGTGCTTGGAAGCACGTGAGAGAAAAGGGGGCCCTGTGTACTCTCAGTGGAGTGTAAATTAATAGAGTCATTATGGAAAAGAGTATAGAGGTTCCTCAGAAAATTAAAACTAGAACTATGAGATCCAGCAATGCTATAACTGGGCATGTATCCAAAGGAAATGAAATCAATACATGAGAGAAATTGTTATTCCTATGTTTATCACAGAAGTACCCACACCAGTGAGGAAATGGAAACAACTTAAGTGTCGATTGACTGTTAAGTAGATAAAGAAAATATGCATAAATATGAAATATTGATCTGCATAAATAAAATGAAGCATTGTCAATTGCCACAACACTGAAGGAGCTTTGTCATTATGTTAAGTGAATTACTTCAGCTAGAGGAAGGCAAGTATAGAGAAATTTCATTCATACAGAGAATGTGAAAATGTTAATGCTTAGATATGGAGAGGAGCATGTTTTTGGCCAAAGGCTAGGGACTGAGAAATACTTGATCTATGGTACTTTATTACAACTATATAGGAGCAAGAAATTGGGCTAATATTTGATAGGTTGGTAACTTATGTCATAGTTATTGTATGATTCTCAAATATAAATACATTTTGCATGTATTTATCATAAATTAACGCTAAATGTTTGAGAAGGTGAATAACCTGAATTAAACATTAATAGACATGTATCACACATTAGATGCAAATACTTTGATATGTTCAACGTTTATGCTTTTATGTATTAATTTAGAAAAAGTAAAGCTGATTGTCATCTCATATTTGAACTTTATCTTGTGAGAATTATATAACTTTGAAAAAATAAAAGAGTAACTACTGACTACAGGACACTTAGTTAAAATGATAGCTACAGTGAGTGTAAACTGCAGGTCCCTAAAGAATAAACTCACATGTTAAGAAAACACACATCTAACCCACCCTTCGGCTAAGGGAGAGGGCCAAAAGATTCTAAAAGAAGGTAATGTGAGAGGTAGGAACATATACTACCCAAGAATTACTAAGACACAGATAAAAGCGCTCTATGCTTAGTTTTTAAGGTATGGGAACACAGACGTGCTTTGTGTTTTGTATTTTCTTGTGGGTGGTGACAAATTTCATTGAAGCACGAAAGTCTATAATCTTAGATATTGGAAAGATACAGAGACCCTTTAGTCCAATAGCCATTTCTGGAATGATGTATCAGAGGTCATTTAGCTTCTTTTGTATGGTTTTTAGTCACTGGAAAATATCTCATGATACATTACCTCTTCCTGTATTAAAATAAAATCAACCTTTCTGAAACTTTCATCTGTGCTCACTCTGAAGTCTTGAGCTTTATTACTTTGGGAGTACCAGAGTCATTTTCAGTTGGAGATGGAATTTAAAATCAGGTCTATTTAATGGAGTTTTCAGTTGCTCTGCTCATCCATTTCAATACCAGGCTCCTCACTACTTCTAACATGTGAAATATATCTGCATGTCTTAGTTTTCTTAGGACTACAATATAAATATTGAGTCTTATATAACCTTTTGTTTATCAAGGGAGTTTTTGGAGGATTTGGTTTCAGCATCTTTTTGTAAAAATGTTAGATCTGAGGAACATTTTCATAATGCAGCAAGGTCTACGATGTTAATGGACCAGAGCAGCAGGATCCTTGGACCACATGCTATAAATACTCCTCAGAGTGCTTGTAATTTCAATTCCAGAGCCTAATGCTGGCTGTAATTCATTTGTTTTTCTTCTCTTATTGAAAATGATTCACAGCAGCTCTCTAGTTTGGAAATCTATTGCTTTTGCTCAATTCTAAGTTTGTATTCCAAATTTAAATTAAAGTATATTAGTGGAAAAAATATGATACGGAGAGAAAAAGTGATTGTGGATAAATATTTTCTATGAGCAAAAGATTCTTTTAAAAGTATTTAAATCACTCAAGGACAAAATAGACCATTCTTTGCCTGTTTCATTTCTAGCTTCCAATGATCAGAATACTAACATCTGAGGAAAATATGTTCTTGGGGCTGAAATTAAATAGCTTCAAATCTCTTAGTGTTTCAAGTTTATGAAGTTTAACTGAGCGTTTGTGTGTGTGTACTAAGCTGGTATCCCAAATCGAACTTTAAAAACAAACAATAAAATTACTTTGTCTTTGCTTCACAGAGAATTAGAATTTTAGATAGGATTTAGCTCCATGGAAGCAAATTCCATGATTTTATAAAAGAAGAAACCATATCCAATAAACCTGAATGATTTGCACTTGAATTAGAATGGAAAGTACTTGAGGGTTTCATCCCCTTACATGGTCTAATGTTTTACTTCGTAATAAGCTAATGGTATTACAAAGAATGTAAAGATAGTTTGACTGTTCAAATAGTAGCACTAGCCTTATTCAATTAAATGTTTTATTTTTTAAAAATTAAACTTTCAAAATGAAGCATGCTGTCTTACCCTGTAATGTTCATTTTCTCTATTTTACGACCCCTCTCTAGGCTCATTGTCCTTTTGGGATCTTATCCAATGAAGATCTTCTGATGGTAAGCATCTTTACTAACTTATTTTTGTAAGAATTATGATAATGTGTCATTTGAGGTACATTTATGTCTTCAGAAACAGTTTCCAGGACACCAAAAACTGAAAAAGTGTATCATATGTGTCCTACAAACCAGAAAATGAAATGCTGCCACTAAATATATCTTGTTTATTGTCAGAGGTGAATGTCTGCTAATAGATGAAAATGTTGATTCTGAGTGAGTAATAATAGTGTTCTTCGGTGGATAGGATCAAAGAGAATTTGAAGGATTAGAAGAAAAGAACTATGAACTCAAAAAATTCCTTCCTTTGTAACGCAGATGGCTTGTGTTTTGCAGGCATCCTTTATCCCCATTTTATTTTCTAAAATGTCCCATCACCAGGTATTTATCTATTTATGCCTCTATTGTTCATCTTCCCAGGGAAACTCAGAACACCACATTATTGACAAATGTCTGTCCTGCACATATTTGTTAAATAGCTGTATTAATGATTAATGAAATGATCACCACCAGCTGAGGTATGTTCTTTCACTGCCAGTATTTCCATTTATTCTCATATTAAGACTGAGACTTAGGTATTAGCTCCATTTTTAACTACGGAGACAGACTCAGCGCAGGAAAGTGATGCGCTGTGGATTATGTAATTATTAAGAAGGTGCTGGAGTTTGAGAATTTCTGTTTAACATTTCAAACACTAAGCTTTTTTTCTTTTGGAGCAACTAAAGCACAATTCACAAAGTTAGAGTGATGTGAAGACAAAATGAACAGGAAATGTACGCAAAGGTCAGGAACAATGTTTAAACAAAAATTTCCATTTTTATGAACCATGCTACTGCTGGGCCCACTGAATATGAGGCAGGATAACTGATTTTTAGGTTGAACTTACTCATGTGCAGTTGACACTCTGTAACAAAAAGAACACAACTTTGGAAACTACATATGGCCTAATTTTAACTAAGTAATTACCTATTGGTAGCTGTAAATAGATGTCTGGTTGTAAACGTCAGAAACCTAGGACAAACAAAAAAAAGTATAAATTTCACTTCTACAAAGAGTCAATTAATATCCAAGTTTTGATAATTTAACTTGAGATTGTGTTACCTGTATTTCAAGGACTAAGTTACATTTCTTTCATGATTAAACTTTTTGTGTAGGGATCCATTATACTTTCATATGCACTTATACAGGAAACCCTCCATGTGGCATCCCTAATTTCTTCCAATACAAAATCTTGAAAAATTATAGTACAAAATTAAAAACCAAGTATGCTGTGGTTCATCTGTATTCCCTACAGTCCGGAAGGCTGAAGCAGGAGAATTACAATTGAGAGCCAAATCTGAAAAAGCCCTTATCACAAAATGAAAACAAAACAAACAAAAACAATCCAGGGATAAAGCTCAGTGTGAAATCCCTGGATTAATTCATAACTATCAAAAAATCATAAACATGTTCTTGACATTGATGTAATTAATATAAAGAACATTTCCATAGCAACAAGCATCCCTTCCTGGTATTTCCATTTCATAACTTATTCATCACTTATAACAGGATCCTCACTTCTAAAATGTCATCGTTTCAAGAATGCTGTATTAATGGAATCACTGAGCATGTGTCGAACAGGATTTTATAACTCCCTGGCTGGTCATATATATTGTTATATGTATGAATCATTCTTTCTTCTTTTTTACCAAATAGTATTCTAAAATACAGATATACCATACTTCACCTACCCATTTGCCAGTTAAAATCATCTAGTTTGTTATCAACCTTTGATTAATGAAATTGCTGCAAACATTTAGATTTTATGTGTGTGTGTGTGCAAACAAAGTTTTCAGTTTTGTGATAAGTTCTAGCATAATATTTTTTAAGTTTAAAGAAACAGAGAGTGGTTTTAAAAATAATTTCCTCAGGTCCTCATAGCACAATTTATATAAATAAAGACAAGAAAACAGAGTAAGTTAAAAGGAAATTAAATAACTCTTCTTGTTAATATATCTGAGTGTCCTTGCTATAGTTATCTTTATTATTATTATTATAGTTGTTATTTCATTATTTTATTGTTTATTTATATTATATTATTATAGCTGTTACATCTCTGAAAATATTCTTGTTGAAATGAGAAATATGTAGTTCTTCTGTTTTTTTTTTTTTTTTTTTCTTCAAATTTGTGCATTAACTATTGGGTTGTATTGCCAGTCATATGTATTGAATAAAATGCCAGGTTTATATTGATAGGTCAGTACACAAATCATTAGAGTTTCCTTTAGAAATAAGGAGTCTCTTCTAATTTGCTAGAGCATTCCATGTGAAAGTAAGAACACCATTTATTAATAACCTGAATTTCTCTCATGACATTTATTGGCTGGCCTGGCTATGTGTCTCTTCTATATCTATCTTGAACTGTAAAAAAACCTAAAAGGGACAATTATATATGTGTGTATACAATATATAAATAGAGATGTATCTGCATGGATTTATATATGTGTATGCTTATGTCTGTATTAATGAGTGTATATATGAATAAAATAAGCTTTTAAATACTGATTTATCATAAAAATTCACACTATTAAAGACCAAGACTAGGAGATAAAAAGTTCTTGTAAGAGTTTCTAAATTATGTGTCTTCTTTATACTTTGCTAAGATAAACTGGGAAGCAACCACAATGTATACATGCCAGCATATTAATTTGAATTTTTCTTTAATGGATTCATAACTTCAGAGAAAATTCAGAAGTCTTCATACCCCTTACTAAAATTATGATCTATTTGTCCATTTACCTATATTTATAGCTTAGTTTCTCAAGGAAATCTATGATTTAGTGGTGAGAAATTAAACATAATCCTTGCTAACTAATGTCATGTTTTACTGGGACAAAATAATTTGTGAAAATTTAAATTAGTGAGTAAAAACACTTTGAATGGTTATTGGGTAAATAGTGATGGCTTTACTGCTGGCTGGACCTGTGTGTGTGTGGGGAACCTTCCTGATCACACATGTGAGAAGAACATGTAAATGCTAAAATAGAGAAAACACGCGAAACATACCAGGAGAGCATTGCAGTTGGACAGCACTGTGGACGTCATGACACTAAGATAGGAAAGAATTCAGGATTTTTCCTACAAGTTCTCTGCATTTAGCTTTCTCATCCTGCAAATCAGCTGTCAGACTCTCTCTTTCTGGAGGAGCACTGGTAAGATTCTATCCTACCACCTTGATATCACTGAGCAAATGCACAAGAATAATTAGGGCAGGGAAGAAGATAGTATGTCCTAGAGAATGAAGTTAGCAACTGTAAGAACAAAACTCTAGAAATGCTTGGGAGACTTTCAACAAAAGAAAAAAGGAAGTTTTGTACAGTCAAGGTGGTGGAAAGGATTTCAACTTGACCAAACAGTTTGAAGAATGTTAGTAAATTAGTAAACCCATCTGCATGGGTGAGCACAGAGGAGGCTCTTATGTGAAGGAGTAAGGTAGTCCACATAACCAGAAGTATGAAAGCTTTAAGATGTTACTAATTAAGTGAATTAAACCCTTGGTGTCCATAAATCACAATGGTTAAAATCATGGAAAATGAAGTGAGAATGTTGTTCCAGCAAATCACCAGCTTGTAATCTTGTTATTACCATTGTTTGTGCCTCATGTGAACTTTGAAATGAAGCAGTCTTGTGAAATGGTGACATGATGTTAGAGATGGCAAACATATGTTTGCATTTCAGTTGAATTTTACTGGTTGTTGTGTTAACAATACATTGAAAAGTGAATACGAAATCTGAGACTACAGAAATAATTTAGTTTGGAATAGGGTAGTCAAAAATAGAAAAGCCAAAAAATCTTCAAAATCAAGATATTACTTGAATGAATAATGAATCAATTTTTTCTGGTGTGAACAACAAAAGGCATAGTTATTTTCATTCAAATTTTGTAAGGCACAAGATAAAAACTACCTGGTAGAAAAATTCAGTTGTGCACACATTGAGATGCTAATTAAACATCCACATGGACATGCTAACTATATTTATAGATGTAAGTTAGAAAGCAGTCATAGGGCAGGATGAAGTCACAGGAGTAGATCAGAAATAGAAATGAGGGGATGCAAGAATGGAATAATCTATGTTGTTCACTGAGGCTGGAAAATAATCTGTATATTAAGTGAAAAATGTGCTTCAAAAATAGTCAGTGATCAACTTTTTTACTTGTTACCTTGGGGTTCAGCAATTTCAGGATATAATATTGTCCTTTGTTGAGAAGAAAGTTAAAGGGAAATTAGGTATCAGAGAAAATGATATACAGTGTTTTTTCATTAAAAAAAAAAAGAAAAAGAGGTGGTGATTAGAGGGTGGTTAAGAGTGAGAAATGTCAGTGGAGCAGGTAAGTAGGTGATGAGAGAGAATGTGTGAGAAGCCTTGAAATGTATGTAGTTCCCATGCAAAAACTTTGGATAGGAATAAATATTTTGTAACTGTCACTGGAATACAAATGAGACCAAATGGGTGCCATAGTTGATAGGAGGCTGAGAGTTCTGAGAGTTGCTGTCTAGGTTTTATTTTCATTATCATTATCATTATTATTATTATTATTTCTAAGTGAAAGAAAAATAACTTGTTGTCTCCTGAGTAAAACGGAGAGTGGAAGCACTGGAGGTTTAAGGAAAAGAGGCATGAACAGTTGTCCTCAAGTGCATGGAATCTAATATTAACTACGGGCCATATTTAGAAACCAACATTGGTTTGTGTTGAAGCATTTAATATAGGAACAATCGATATGTGTTTCTTTTTTTTTTTCTTTAGTGATTTTCAACTACAGGAGTACAAATGTAGCGTTGATGGAAATTTTAATTTCATTAGGTTTGTCTTTTTGTCAAGTCAATATGATGAATCAAAACAAAAGCAGTGTAGAGAGAAGCTACTAGGGGATGATTCTAAGGACCATGGGCATTAAATTGGGTGACTGGAAGTCAGGATGGGATGATGAATATGGGGCCAATTATTAGCACTGGTTGGGA